CTTTTAGCAATTATAATTCTTGGTGAAAGCAGCACAGTGTGTAAAGGTAAGAGACAGCGGCTGCTCTGCTCCTTCCTGGGCCCAGCCTGGACTCTGTATATTGCTGAGGAATCAGAGTGCCATAAACCTGGAGATTAACCTAGAGTGCTGACTACAGGGAGTGGGTCTGACTCTCCAAACTGTCTACTGAATTGTGTTAGGTAGACGGAAGGAGTATTTTGGATATGATTGGTGCTCTGGTACAATCTTACCGAGCTTTGGCTCATTCGAAATGCTGGTTTTCATGATTGAGTATATACCTATTAATATATATATGTAATATATCTTTTTAAATCTGCTGTGATTCTCATCTTTGTTTTTTAGTATCAACATGCCTCCCCTACCCCAGTCTACATTTAAGATTTTGGCTTTATTACTGGTTTTGAGGAATTTGGTTAATGATGTGCTTTTGTGTGTGTTTAATGTTTCTTGTGCTTGGGGTCTCCTGATTTTTTTGACCTATGGATTTATGTTTTCATCAAATTTGCTAAAATATTGGCAATTATTTATTTCTTTTAATAACTTTTCTGCCTTCCTTTTTCTTTTCTTTTCTTTTCATTTTTTTACAGAGTGAGAAGGCAGGAGTTTATTAATAAGACAAAAAAGCTCCCAAGCAGAAAGGGACCTGAAAGAGGGTTGCCCTCCCTTTTTATTTATTTAGTTTTTAATGCATGGGGGGATCAATTATACATATAACATATTATGCTGCTTTGATTTTAATCCTTTTTAATTTTAATTTTTGAATTTCATCTTGGATACTTTCTATTACTATATCATCAGTTTCACTAATTCTTTCTTCTGCAATGTCTAACATTTTCTATTCCCTTTTATCCAGAATGTAGTTATAATTGTTTAATTGCCTTTGTTTGCTAATTTTAGCATACATGTCAATTCCGGTGATTTTCCTTTGGTTTATTGTTTCTCTCATTACCAGTCATATTTTCCCCCTTCATCTGATGTCTGGTAATCTTTGATTAGATACTAGACATTTTATCTTTGTCTTGGTAAATCCTAGATTGTTTTATGCTTCTATAAATATTGTTGAAAGTTTAATATTTGGCCTGGAACAAATATTAAAGTATTTGGAGACAGTTTGTCTTTTTCGATCTAACTTTAATATATTTTTAGGAAGAACAAGAGCGACATATAGCCTTGAAATAATTATTTTATACTACTGAAGCAAGACCCTTCTGAATACTCTATCCAATGTCCCATGAATTAGAATGTTTTGGACGGGTGCAAAGGCTCATGCTTCTACTCTGAGCACTATGGGAGGCTGAAGTGTGAGGATTGCTTGAGCCCAAGAGTTTGAGACCAGCTTGAGCACAGAGAAATTCCCTCTCTCTGCAAAAATTAGCCAGTGTAATGACTGTGTCTGTAGTCCAGGCTACTCAAGAGGCTAAGGTGGAAGGAACACTTGAGCCCAGGATGTTGAGACTGTGGTGAGTTGGTGATCATCCCATTGCATTCCAGCCTGGGCAACAGAGTGAGAATCTGACATAAGTAAGTAAGTAAGTAAGTAAATAAATAAATAAATAAATAAATAAAAGGTTGATAATGTTTTTCAGTCTGGCTGATGGGAACAAATTTTCAGCTCTGTGTGAATTCCTGGCACTGATCCTTTTAGATGGTCCTTTTCCCAGCATCAGTTAGTTTCCTTACATGCATGCACCAATTTGACCATCTACAGATCTCTGGGGTTCTCTCTCTGTGCAACTCTCTTTTCCCTGTGTGTTCTGCAAGCTCTCATCACCTTGATCTCCCTGGACTTTTAGCTCTGTGTTCTCAAATTAGGAAATCTATCTGGGTTTCCATCCCTGAGCCATGGTGTGAAAACTCCTAAAGCAATAATAAACCTTGGGCAATCATGGGTCTCACTTCATTTGCTTCCTGTCTTCAGGAATTACTGTCCTTCACTGCCTGGTGTTTAGTATCTTAAATGCTGTTGCTTCTTATATTCTGTTTATTTGTTTTCAGTTACCTCAAGTTGAAAGGTAAATCTTTTTCCTGTTACTCTATTGGAATTATGCCTTCTTTCTCCTTAAACATTTTAAAACACAAATTGTGGGCCCTTTCCTGTGCTGGGCGCTTTGGGAATCTTGAATAGCTATACAATATTATCATCTCTCCTTAAAGCAGTTTATAAATCTGATAAGGTGAGGAGAATGCTCCTAGTTAGATAAATCCACTACAGAAAGGATGGAGTGTAGTACTTAGATGATGCCATAAGGGTACCTGAGACAGCAGGAAGCAGAGAGACAAGAAGGTGTCAGCCCTGCCAGACCACTGAGCCTACTGAGAACCACACCCAGGTGTGTGAGATAATGACACTCTGGGTTTGTGCAGGTTATGGCACTCACTTCACAAACTGTCTTTCCTGTCTAGACTACTTAAATCATGGCTGGAAGATGGCTGACTTGCAGTAATGGACAGTCTTCACTAGAACTAAATTATGCTTTATGACATATATTATAACAGCCTCATTTTCATATTATATCATCCAGTTCGAGAACATGCTTTTGGACTGGACATTGTTCCTCATGAGGTGAGGTAGGAATGTCAGGTGTACAGATGACGAAACTAAGGCTTACAAAGAAGAAGTAATTTTCTTGGAGACACACACTTATAAGTGCTAGGGAACTGGATTAAGCCTTTCAGAAGGTCTGAATGTCCAATTCCTTCTGGCTTGGAAGATACATTTCTAGTTAGTGAAGTATAGATATATATATATACATATATAATCTTAGGATGGCAAATGGTGGGTCAGATCAGATGGCTATGGTTACTGGTGAATTTGACCTGTGGCCATGGTTTGATGACTCTTTGGTTGTAGAGAAAATAGTAAAAAAAAATCGATTAATATTTATTTTATCTCACCTTTTAACATTTCTGCTTTTTGAGTATGTTTCATCATGTAAATTGGTATTGGTATGTTAGGTACAGAGGTACAGGTATATGTTTACTTACAACATATATTGGCAGTACATATTCAAAACCTTTTTATGGGAAATAGTAAATAAACAACAACTGCATTTAATGAGCAGTTATTTTGTGCCAGGTGTGGCTCTAAACACTTTGCATGGATTATTTCACTTAGTTCTCATAACCATCCAGTGAAGAAGGTCCTGCTTTTATCCTTATTTTACAGATAAGGAAATTGAGGCACTGGAATACAACTGTGTGATCAGAAACTTACCCACCACTTAATTAGGACTGGCAAATCTATGAGTGTTGTGTGGTCCTGCATTTGGGAGTTCAGGTGTGGGGTCAAGGGTATACAGTGTTGATTCAGAGTCATGGGTGGATATAGGTTAATAGTTCATGCCAGATGCTATGTGAGGAACTAAGTGTTTTCTAACTCATCTAGGCAGGCACCATGAGCACATACTACTTAACCCCACAATAGCCATGTGAAGAAGATATTAATTTTCCCATTTTACAGATGAGGAAACTGAGGTTCAGAAAGAATAAGAACTGACTCAAGGTTCCACTGCTAGCAAGTGAGAGGGCTTGGTTGGAAATGAAATGAGATCCAGCTTTTGTCTAGTTCTAATTATCCAATTCCTGGCCATGTACTGTCCCCCAAAGTTGAGAAACTCTCCAAACCCTCCAAACCAGGAAGCGCTCTGGGAACTGTTGCCCCACAAGGATATACTAAATCAGGGCTTCACTGGTTTCTAGATAGCGTGAAGTCCCAGGGCACAGGGTCTAACCCATATAGCCCCTAAACCGGACCTAGTCTCATCCTGTCCTGAATATCCCTAAGAAGAGTCTAGTTTCTTCTTTAGGGGTGGGATCAAGCAGATATGATTTGCCTTGCAGCACCATGACTTGATAACTGAATTAAAAGGAGAAGAAAGGAAGGACAGAAAGAAGGAAGGTTGGGAAGACGTGAGAGAGGAAGGAATAAAGTCAGGTGGGCATGGCACAGGGTGGCCCTGAGCAAGTTGAGCCCTAGTCTTATGATGTATAGCATGGAGACAGTGGCAGCCTCTGCCTCACACATCTGGAGAACTTAATGATATGTGTATCAAGCAGGTGCTCTAACAAATGGTAGAGGGAGGGAAGCCTTGCTCTCCTTGCCAGAATGTTTCTCAGACTAGTTCTCAAGCCACAGAGAGTTTTCTCTCCACCCACATGTTGGAGGGGTATCTTAATAGATAGGAGTCTACCCAGAGTGCTATGGTGTGGGGTTGGCTGGGGTCTGCTGGGATATCCTACCCGGTTGTTCTTTTTTCTGACCCAGAACTTCTACTCTGATATGTGAAGGTCTGAGACATGACTCATAGATCTTATAAAATAATGCCAAGGCCCAGGGACAGACAAGTAGTTCTGGGGCCAAGAGAGGGTGTGACACACACTAAGACCATGGGCCTCCTGACCCGATGGTGCTTTGGGCACTTGCTGTACTACTTTATGTTCAGTTATGGTTTTCTGTCTTTGTGATTTATCTTCCTTCCTTCCTTCCTTCCTTCCTTCCTTCCTTCCTTCCTTCCTTCCTTCCTTCCTTCCTTCCTTCCTTCCTTCTCTCTTTCCCTTCTCAATGCAGCAAACACTGTTTAAGCAAGGGTCTTTCACTGTTTAGCAATAAAGATACCAGCACATTACCTCTAGGATTTTACAAATGAGTTAGGGGAAATGAATGAGAGAGGGAGAGATGAGGGATAGGGGAAAACGAAGAGATGGAGAGGTGGAGAAGGAAGAGAAGGGGAAGACGTAAGAAGGCAGAGAGAAACAGGGAGAGGGCAGATATGAAAATGAGACAGGAGAGGGCAGGGAAGAGGACAGGGAAAGCAGAACATAGGAGAAGGAAAGTATAAAAGAGGAAGAAGGAGGAGGCAGAAGAAAGAAAAACAGACCTTGTGAGCACTTTCTAAGGTCCTTTGGCTAGTCCTATTCATTTGGAGCTGGTAGAGATATCTACAACCAACTCTCACCAAGGGGAGCTCGTAAATAAATACCTCTGGGTAGGAGCAGATATCTGTAAACACAGCTGAGGAATTGAAAGTCAGGTTCTTCAAGGGTATCGACTTGTCAAAATCACACCACAGCTGCGGATTAAAAAAAAAAGAACAACAACAAAAAAACAAAAAGACACAGGAACAACAAAGTCAGTGTGAGTGCTGAAAATGAACCGGTGTGCTATCAGTGGCCGGGCTTCAGCAGAAGCCTGGGTAGACCTGGCCCTAGAAGGGGCTTGAGTTAGGAATGAAGTGCCTGATTAGATCTCTTTTATTTAAAGAACAAGTACTGGCTCAGAAAAAAGCTTTTGCGAGCTAGGCACGGAACCAGGTTAAGACTGCTCTGTTGGCCCCATCACTTAGGGTCACGGGGGTGTGTTTGTGGAGCTCAGAAGCTAAAGCCGGATGGCAGGGAAAGAGGTCCGGGGTCAGCTCACAACCTGTCGGCAGATGGACTACTGCGAGGACTCGAGGGATCAGAAGTGGCACATTTCCCAGAAAGACTCTTAGCATGGGGGTGATGGGCATTTCCTAGGACAGAAGTCGCTGCTAGAGATTATGTGGCACTCAGAAAAGAATAGCTACCGTTAACCAAATGCCTCCTCTGTGCCAGACACTTTGAACCTCAAAAACCTCACAACCACTTTGTGATGCAGCTGCTATTTTTAATCCCCATTTTACAACGGAAAAATATGAAACTCTGAGAAGCAAAGTAACTTGTCCAGGGTCACCAAGCCGGTGACTAGTGGATCTGAGATTTGAACACAGGTCTATCTGACTCCAAAGCCTCTGATCTCCCTATCACACCACTCACTGTGGCACAGTTTGCCCCAGAGGTAACCCTGACCTAGAGTCATTGGGCTTATTTCCAAATCCTGTACCCTAGGAATACCTGATTCGACATCAAGACTTGAGATCCTGGCTATTGCTCCACTGTCTGTGATCAATGATCCTATGTACTTCTGTTTCAGTTGTCATAATCTATAAAATATCCATTAGATGATAAACCTCATCAGATGATGGTTTTTCCCCCCACTTTTATCCTAGAGTCCTTCCCAGGAAGGACAAGCACAGTACTTCAGCAAGGTAAGTAGTAGCCAATTTGGATCACGAATTTCAGGCAATCTAAGCCTCCAAGTCACAGGCCAACAACTCTGGGAGTCTACAGTTCGGGTCCCTGAATGTGTGGGGACCCTTCCTCAGGCCCATAGGGCACAGTGATGAATTGAGCCACAAGATGATATCTCAACTAGCCTCTTTCAACCTGCCAAGTTTAAGACCTGGAATCAGATAAATCACCTCAAAAATCTGGCTGCCTGGGTCATGGACAGCACAGACTATTTGCATATGCACATAAAATACCTTTAGCTACCATGGTACCATTGTAGAGAGAAAATGAAACCATGAAAATGTGATCACCAAATTAAAACAGTGACAAACATCGTGGCAGTTGGAATTTCATCTGAGTTCTATGTGTCACATCCAATATGAACTCTCAGAAAGTCACAAGCAAGATACCCAATCTTCCTGAAATGCAGTTTCCTCATCCATTAAATGGGGACAGTAATACCTACCTGTGGCACGCAGTAGGTGCTCAACAAATGGCAGCTATTTTATTTTCATTCCCCCCACCCTGCCCCGACTCCCAGAGTTACAATTTGGCATATTAGAGTGAGCACGGTTCATGGAGTCAGACAGACCTTATCAACAAGTTATTTCATATCTCTGAGCCTCAGTTTCCTCAGCCATAAAGTGGGGATAATGAAACTTACCACAAAGGGTTTTATGTGAGGATTAAATATGAAAGCTATGTAGCACTCCTCCTTCAGTGCATGGCACATAGCAGGTCGTAGTGGTACTTAATAAATAAAGGGGAATTCATTTTTATGATATCATTGGCCACTGTATTGGCCACTGACAATACAGAAACAGAAGGGCTTCTGGAGCTCCTTTGGAGCAAATAACCTTTTCTGCTGGGAAATAGACAATCTCCCAACAGTAAAATGCACAGTTGTGCAGTAGCCACATCTTTGTTCTCTGACCCTAGGCTGAGGGTTGCACCAGGCACATAAAGGTGACTGGTACCAAGGAAGGGTAAGGCAAGAAGCTGGAGGCTCCATCAACTCTCAATGCTAGACTGCACACTAGACGCCAGAGGGTTGGTGGGTGTGGGATGCTTACAATATTTAGGACGGCACCCAGGAAGTTGATCAAGATGGATGCAAAGATGATGACGTTCCTGGCCAAATAGGTCTCATTAATCCAACAGCAGGTTTTCCGGAGCACAAGGGGCAAACACTTATAATCCTCTGCTGTGGTGATGAGGACCAGAGCCGAGTGCAGCATAATCAGAATGGAGAACTGGATGGTCATTGGCATCACCCTGCAAAGAAACACAGAGCGTTGGCTCATGTGGCATCAACGATCTCATCCCCACTCCCTGAGCAACACTGACATTCACGTTCCTGGTTGCCCTCCTTGTCCCTCTCTTGCACCTAGTCATTCTTCTAAGGTTCTATTTGTTTAATAAAAGAGCTATTAGCAGGAAAGATTTTAAAAAGCACATCCATCTCTAGAATACTGTCTGTCAAGAAACTGCAAAGAACATTGAATATTTGGCTTGGTGCATTGCTCCTGCCCATTTCTCTCTCTCTTTTTTTTATTATTAACTTTTTTTATTATTAACTTTTCTAGGCAACTGCTACCAAGGCAACATGCTGCTGGAGTTTTTAATCTCAGTACTCTGGTATGGGATGAACCCATGTGTTCTTTCCCCTTCAAGGTGGGTTTTATGAAACTTTCCATCTCTGTCTTCCCTGATGCCAAGAACTGGACTTGGCGTTGGGTCCAAGTTACTCAGTTTGGTCAGTGATAACTATGGTTTGCAGGAAGTATACAAAATGCTGTCTGAGACATGAGTGAAGAGAACTCATCCTTGTCCAAGGCTTCAACATCGCTCCCAAGTCTGTGTCAAGATCTCACTGAAGCCCTGCCCCCATGGTAGACTGTGTTTACTCGACACCTCTGCTGGTGTCAGGAAGTTTCTGGCAACTCTGTGATCTAAAACTCTACCTCTTGAGGCTTTTTATGATGGTTTTCTCTCTTCCCTGACCTATTTATTACCATGCATGTTGCTTCTTCTTGGGAATTCATTGCTTGGTCTTGATTCTGTGTACAGCCATTCATGTCCTACCCTGCCATCGCTGATTTTTCCCACCTCTGTATCAGCCAGCAAGCTGATGCCAGTGTTGTAGGGTATCTTGATAGAAGTAATGATAGATTTTATATTTGCTCCTTCTTCAATAAACCGAAGTTCATCCCTGGCTTTAATATCTTCTGTTGCTGATACTCAATAAATAGGTGTTTAGTGAATAAAGTTGGGTCCACCTTCCCCTTGTAACACTCTTTTACTAGCCTCCTATCTGAAAGTTCTTACTTATTATTAACGACACTAGTGCAAACCATGTATTGGGCTGCGACTATGGGTTAACCACTATTCTGAGCACTTTATATGAAATATCTCACTTTCATTCCTCAGAACAAGCCTGAAAGGATTTTCAATCTCTACCTCATTTTTTTTTCAGATGAAGATTTAAGGCTCCAAGGGAAACAACTTCCCAGGAGTCATTCAGTTAGCAAGCGTCAAAGCTAGGCCTTAAAATCCACCCTGTTTTTTTCATTGATATTCTGCCTTGATGATCTGTACACAATGGAATATTATGCAGCCATAAAGAAGGACAAGCATATGGACTTCACAACAGCTTGGAGGGATTTAGAGTCTATCATACTCAGTGATTTATCACAGAAACAAAGAACTGAGTACCTCATGTTCTCACCCATAAGTGAACCCTGAACATTTACCGTCATACTATAAGAAAGGGACTGGCGGTAACCGATGCTGCTGGGGACGGGGGCACATAACATAAATAGGGGTACCTGATCTCAAAGCAGGCAAAGTGGGGACCAAAGGGAGGCCCAAACTTTATCTGTACAATGACCACTTGTATACCTAATCCTGAAACGTACCCCACATCTTAAAAAAAAAAAAATATATATATATCTACCCTGTTGTACCACTGTGCTATTCTAATAACTTTGTTAAGATATCTCCCATGTTTTCAGTAATCTTTTTTTCTTGTTTTTGTAGTTTCATGGTATTTGTCTATGCAGCAAGTTTTCTTTCCAGGCACAAAAGCGGGCACCAAGGGTATCAGGGCCAAAGATACATCTCCACCTTCTAGGAGGTCATAATTTACAGGGGAATATGGACACACAAATGCTGAATTATTATGTAGTATGCTATGATCTACAAAGAATTATGAACAGCTATCATTTGGGAAATAGGAGAGAATCAAGGGAGACTTCACCGAAGAGGTGACATTCAGGTTAAGCCTTGCAGGTTGAACAGAAAGTTTTTAAGTAGACAAGAGTGGGATCATGGACAAAGCATCAGAAGAATGAGGGTGGCCAGTGTCTTCAGAGAGTTCCAGTAACCTAGGCAGTGAGAATGTGGGATCAGAGGAGGAAAGACCCAATACATACTGTGCTGGAGAGTTTCATCCTGTAGGCAATGAGCAGATGTTTAAAACATTTTTTTTCGTGTCAGGCTTTTGCTCCATTGCTCAGGCTGGAGTGCAGTGGCACAATCACAGCTCATTGCACCCTTGACCTCTTCTAGGTTCAGGCCATCCTCTTGCCTCAGCTTCCTGTATAGCTGGGACTGTAGGCACATGCTGTCATGCCTAATAATTTTTTGATTTCTTTGTAGAGAAGAGGTCTTCCTACATTGCTGAGGCTGGTCTTAAACTCCTGGGCTCAAGTGATCCTGCTGCCTGGGCTCAAGTGATCCTACTGTGTTGGGATTACAGGCATGAGCCACTATATCCAGGCATTTAAGGCTTTTAAGCAGGGAAAAATATGATCAGATCTGTGTGTTTGAAAGACAACTCTGGTGAGAGATGGAGGAGGAAGTAAAGAGGAAAAGCTTTTAAAAGAACATTTAAATAGTTGGGGCATGAGTTACAAGAGAGGAGTATAGAGCCACAGCACTGCTAACTGGAAGGTACAGGGAAAGATGTAACCTTAATCTATGTTTTATATTTGTATTTGGGGCGGGAGCGTTCAAGACAGGAAAGTCATGAAGGATGACATGATTGTTTTTTCCTTCTGAACTGGGTAATACAGGAAACAAAACTAGTCCACACAGGAGATATGTTGTGAATTTGAGTTTGGGCATGTTGAATGCTTGGTACTTGTGGATAGCAAGTTGAACATACCTGAGAGTCTAGGAGGTTAGGGGGACAGTCGTGGAACTCTGGGGTTGGAATGAACAGGTGGTGGTAGAAGATGTGGAAATGGAAGCATTCGCCCAAGGAGCGTGTAGACAGCAAGAAGCAGGAAGACCCAAGAGGAAGATCTGGGAGAAGCTAGTGGGTTGGAAGAAGAAAAGGCAGCAAAAGGATTCAGGAAGTGTGGTCAGATAGGCAGGAGAGCAGACGTGTACGCGTCCAGGGAATAAGAAACTTACAAGGGAAGAAAAACCACAATCGTGTCAATTCCTCTGCATGGTCAAGCTGCTTGAAGGCTGGAAGGGGACTCCTCCCAAAGTTCCTGCCATTGTTGTTAGAGGTATTTTGTTTTTTCACTTGCACAGTTTAGATTTTATGGAGCACCTTGACAAGAAATCTCTGTGGGAGTTCTAGATAAGAACAGAAGGTTTACGCATCAGTGAGTTCCCAGAGGGTTCTGGGCAGATGGAAACTTCCCCCAAACAGGCTGGAAAAACACTCCCTGACAACACGTCATCATTCCTGGACACCAGGGGAGATAAGTGAAAGAGAATGCAGGTGGATTGCTTTGTCGAGAAAGGGGCCAACTCTGAGGCTGAAGCTTGTCAATCACGTGAGGCAGCCACTGAGAATAAGAATGTTTTGGGGCAGAAGCAAACCAGGAGAAGGCAAGTTTGAAAGCTGCGCAGTAGGCATCAAAATTATGTGGCCACTTCTGCCATCCAGATGAAGTCTATGGACCTCAGCATGGCATTCAGGGCCTTGCATGGCTGGTCTTGATTCTCTTGCCTATCTTTTCACTCTCTCTCTCTTGCTCTCTCACTTTCACTTCTCTGCATTCCATGTTCTGGGCAGTGCAGAACTATATGCCTCCTGCCCCCACGGTGATGATAATTCCACTTAACCTGGGGCACGCCCTGCAAGGCTCAGCCTTCCTTTGAATTCTTCCATGGCACCTGGCATAGGGCTGAGTACACAGAAGGTGCTCAAGAAATATTCATTGACTTATGCTTATTCTGTGGAGAGAAGATTCCGTTTCTCTCCTTACCCGCCTTCATAGGGATGAGAACTTCCATCTGCCCTCCCAGCCTTTCTCTCTGCCTGTTTGCTGTGTCTTGGCCAAGGAAGGGAGAAGAGCTAGCTGTGAATCTGTCTGAGATGTTCCAGGACCTCATTTTTCCTGGAGAACAGGGTCACTGGTTTTTTTTTTCTGAGTTGGAGTGTCATTC